CAATCCTGATATAATCAAGATACAATCAAGATGTTCTCTTCTGATACTATCAATCCTGTTACAATCAAGATGTTCTCTCCCAAGGTGGCGGCTCCTGGAACAACTGAGTGTCTTGATCCAGAAAACAATGGATTTCTGGATTTCCTTCAAATTCCCCAGCTGTAAACCCTCTGATCCTCCAAACAGTATTAGCCTTTATAGAGATGCAAATCTAAACAACAATGAGATGTCAACATACTCCAGTATTAATAGCAAAGTTAAAAACAAAAACAAATGCTGGCAAGGTTTTGGAGAGATTAGGACCATCCTGTACTGCTGGTTGGACTGGGAAAATGTTGCAAACACTATGGAAACCCACATGGCGCTTTCTCAAAAATTTGCAAATGGAAATACTGTATAACTCAGCAATCCCTCTACTTGCTATATATCCTCAAGAAATCAAAACTGTGACACAACTGAATTTATACACACCCATGTTCATTGTGGAGTCCTGGTGTGGTGCTGTAGGATAAGCACTCAACTACACAGTTGGTTTGAACTACAAGATTGGCACTTCAAATCCACCAGTTGCTCCTCAAAAACCCTATACAGTTGTATGAGCTGGAATCGATACAATGGCACTTAACAACAACATGTTCTTCACAGCACTATTCATAATAACAAAAAGATGGAGACAGTCTAAATGCCCATCAACAAAGACTGGTTAAACAATCTTTGGTACATACACACAATGGAATAGTCCACAACATTGAAGAATTTGCAAAACACCTCACAACATGGATGGATCTGGAGAACATTATGCTGAGTGAAATTAGACAATCACAAAAGGACAAATATTGCATGAGAGCACCATGGTAAAAAGTTAAGGAAAGGGTTTCTTGCTAAATGGGACATTCTATGATAGCTATTAGGTGGGGGTGGGACCAGAAGTAAAGTGAATAGAGGTAAATGCTGCGAACTGATGGTACGCGGAGTGAATTTCAATCATTGTAATGACACAAAATGTGTGATTTGTTGAATATAACTGGTGATCTGTAAACCATCACTTAATTCACAATAAAAGTTCAAAAAAATTTTTTTACCACCAGCAAACAAATCCAGCTTTAGAGGTTTCAACTTCTCATAGTGGTCTCTTGGAACCCTTTAGGTGCTCGTAAAACTGTGTACAGAAAAAGTAATCTTATGTTTAATTTTAAATAGAAATTTCTTCATCTTCAAGCTCAGCGAGAAAGCAAAGAACAGGAAAGAAAATACTTGGAACTTTTCAGAGGATCAGTTGAAAAACAAGTACAGTCCTGCAGAAAAGGATGTTATGGGACTAGAACGTTAGGTGAACTATATATTGTAGTCTGCTCAAACGAGCCTTGTGCCCTAGTAGGTGATGGTCCATGTACTGAGCTTGTATCTGGTCCTCAAAGTCTCCACACCTGACCCAGGTCCCTCTCACATGTCCTTTAGCCTTACCATTCAGTGGAGTCATCCATTAATAGGAGATGTTCTTATTTATTTTTGAGGATTGTTGTGATTGTCAGGTGTGACATGTCTAAAGCGCAAGGACCAACAAAGGCTGATCTTCCCCCTTCAAGCTGTTAGTAAACTTTTGTTTCACTTCCAAGTCGGCACTTCCCCTTTGCCTCTTTCTGCTGCACTTGGGAGCCAGGAGGCACTGCCTGTTACGTTTTCGAAAAAATATCAGGCATGGGGGCTAATACCACAATGTTCCACAGACACATACATGATACACGAAATTGGATGTTGCCACATACAAGTTGAAGCATGCACTGTTGTACAGTAAATTTTTAACTTGTAAGTAGGGAAAGTTCATGTTAAAATCATGATAGAAAGTACAGTGTATAATAGGCCAGGGAGAGAGGTGTGTACTATGATGCTAATGACACACGTAGTCAGAATACTAAACCCATTTTCAAGTCATATTAAATAACATTCATTCAATTTGTCTTATTGGCTAATATGACTTTTAACACGAGCTATGGCTGGTTTATTTCCTTTTAAAATAAACATTTCTTGCATTTTTGCACCCAACTATTTTCTAAAATTTTATGAAGATCTAGTCATAGACCGCATAACATCTATTCAGACAGCGTCTGTTACCGAATACAATCAGGGTGCCATAAGCTTATAAGAGAGTCCAGGAATCCTGAGTGAAGAATGGGACGAGTAAGACCTAACCAGACAGTGCAGGCAACAGCTTCCCGTGTGCAACACACGCATCTCATGTCGTCTGTAGACAAGTGGCCTGTTGTCAGGTGTCCAGTGTATGGTACGTAGATATCCTATAATACGTGTGTCATGAGCATCATAGTAAACGCCTCTCTCCCTGGCCTATCATGCATTGTACTTTCTAGCATGCTTGCAGGGTATACCTTTTGGTTGATTGATGATGTATGGAGGGGATTGTAACCATGGCAATGAAACGATATACGATAGGATGAATGTGAAATTAATGTTCTCCCATGTAAACTATCACATAATTCACAATAAATTTTTTTTTTTTTTTAAAGTAACTGGCTCGAAGTAGGCCAGGTTCAGTGAGGCTTACTGTGCTTTTCAGATGCTGTCTCTTTGGGTTTTCTTTAACAAACGGAAACCCAGTTCCAATCTAATCTGGTGGTGCCATTTTACCAACAGCATCTGTTTACTTAGCGACTGTCTCACGTTTCCGCAGCAGCGCATGCGCTCACTTAGTGAATGTTACATTTCAACAGTAGTGAGTGTTACAGTTCACTTATCGATGGTGTCATGTTTCCCCAGAAGTGTACTCTCACTTAGTGACGGGGTTACAGTTCCACAACATCGTGTGTTCACTTAGCGACTGTGACACGTTTACCCAGCAGTATGTGCTCACTTGGGAGTCCTGGTGTGGCGCTGTGGGTTAATGCGCCAGACTGAAAGCCATTTGAACTGCAAGGTCGGCAGTTCAAACTCACCAGCTGCTCCTCGGAAACCCTATACAGGGTCGCTATGGGTCAGAATTGACTCAAGGACACGTAACAGCAACATGTGCTCACTTAACGACCGTCACTTTTTCTGAGCAGTGTGCTCACTTAGCGACCGTCCCATGTTTCCACAGCAGCGCATGCTCACTTAGCGACCGTCCCATGTTTCCACAGCAGCGCATGCTCCCTTAGCGACCGTCCCATGTTTCCACAGCAGCGCATGCTCCCTTAGCGACCGTCCCATGTTTCCACAGCAGCGCATGCTCACTTAGAGACCGTCTCATGTTTCCCCAGCAGCACATGCTCACTTAGCGACCGTCTCATGTTTCCGCAGCAGTATGTACTCACTTAGTGATTGTGTTACGTTTCCCCAGCAGTGTGTGCTCACTTAGTGACCTTGTCACATTTTGATAATTTCTGTAGCAGATCGAACTGTTTCCTAATGGCATTGCCCACTTAAGGAGCCCTGGAGGTGCTGTGGGTTAGGTGTTGGTGGCTCAAACTCACCATATGGAGCGGCCTGCTTCTATAGAGATTTAGTCTTGGAAACCTTCTATGATGTCACTATACGTCAGAATCGACTCTGGTGGTGGGTGATAGCACACTTAATAGACTACAGGATCGTGCAGACATTACTTTCAGATGCACTGGCAAACCAACCTATTTGTGGGACCTACTTTATTGCACTGTTTGTTTTATTGTGGTGGTCTGCGTCCAAACCCACAGTGTCTCCAGGGTTTGCCCGCATAGTAGTGGAGTCAGATTGAGCCCACTGATGTTAGATTAATGAATAACTGAGAAGTGATGGGTGATCTTGATTTTTCCCTCCCTTTTTCACTCAGGTGGTGAATGGAAAACCCGTTATGAGACCCAACTTGAATTGAACAGTCAGCTTGAAAAGCAAATTGTTTCCCTGGAAGAGAAAATGGAAAAAATCCGTGGGAATCCTTCAGGTTCAGAAGCAGTCCTGTGCATGTTTTCTCAGTTGAGTTAAAACTGTGAAAATTCCAACTGCTCCTGTTTCCTTTATTGTAGATAGACTGTCTTCTATTCGTGTCTATGAGCGGATGCCAGTGGTAAGTAGAAGACAGCAAGGTCCTAATGTGACAAGCTGTGACTGGGGGGAGCTTTTCTTGGAAAGACAGGAATTTGTAACCAGTCCTTCAACTTGATTCCCTCCAATAAACCGAGGTGGGGTTTGTTGAAGGGACATGTGGTACAAAAACAAAGCTGAATGAAAAATACAAATCTCAGCAGGCTGGAAATTGATTGTCTATAGCCTACGGCATGAAAAAACCCTACTGCCGTAGAGCCAATTCTGACTCATAGTGACCAATGTCACAGAGGGGACGGCCCCATCAGGTTCCCTAGACCACATCTTTTCAGAAGCATCTCTTTTCTTCCTCCAAGTAGCTGGTGGGCTCAAACCATCGACCTTGCCGCTTGCAGCTTGACGCTTAACCCACAACACCGTCAGTGCGCCTTTGACAGCATGAAAGAGCCTCCCTAAGACAGAAGGGCTAAGTGTCACCGAGTCGGCTCTGACTCAGTGACCTGGTCTCTAGAGCGTTTCCAAGGCTGTAAATCTTTGCAGGAGCAGAAAGCCTCATCTTTCTCCCACAGAGAGACTGGTGGGCTCATGTTTGCTGTCCTGAGCTTATCCTACAGAGTCCTGTGTCCCATATAGCTAATACATATTAAAAAAATTTTCATTCTCATTCTTCTTATATATATTGTTGTTGTTGTTAAGTGCTGTCAAGTTGGTTCCAACCTGTAACAACCCTGTATAGGGTTTCCTAGGAGTGGCTGGTGAGCTTGAACTACCAACCACTTCAATTCAAACGGCTTTGCAGTCCAGTGCATTAGTAGTCCACAGCGCCACCCCAGGACTCCATATCTGTCTGTCTATCATCTATCTATCTATCTATCATCTATCTATCTATCTATCTATCTATCTATCTATCTATCTATCTATCTATCTGTCTATGTATCATCTATCTATCTATCAATCTATCATCTATCTATCGTCTATCTATCTATCTATCTATCTATCTATCTATCTATCTATCTATCTATCATCTATCTATCTATGTATCTACATACCTACCTGCCTGTTGTTGTCAGGTGCTATCGAGTCGGAACCGACTCATAGTGACCCCATGCACAGCAGAACGAAACAATGTCCGATACTGGGCCAACCTCACTACCACTGCCACACTTGAATCCATCAATGATGCCACCTGGCTGATCCATCTCGTTAGGGGTCTTCCTCTTTTTCTCTGACCCTCCACCTTACCCAGCATGACATCCTTCTCCAGCGACTGTTCCCTCCTGACAATATGTCCAAAGTATGAGAGACGAAGCTTAGCAATCGTGGCCTCCAAGGAGCACTCTGGCTGCACTTCTTCCAAAACAGAGCTATTGGTTCTTTTGGCAGTCCATGGCACTTTCAGTATTCTCCTCCAACACCACAACTCAAAGGCATCAATTCTTCTATGATCTTCCTTATTCACTGTCCAGCTTTCACATCCATATGAGGCTGTTGAGGCTACCTACCTAGCTACACATTTATCCACCCATCCATCATTCATCAGTCTATCTATTTTTGTATTTATCCGTTATCCATCAAACCATCTATCATCTCACTATATTTCTATCTAATTATCATATGTATTTGTAGGAGTTCTGGTGGTAACTGAAAAGCTGATGTTTTTTCAAAGGCATCAGCCACTGTCCAGGTGAAAGCTGACACCGTCTGCTACCCTGAAACTGATCAGGGCTGAGGAAACACTACAGTGAGGTTCTTCTCTGTCCTGTGGGGTCGCTGGGAGTTAGAATCAAATCAATGGCAGTGGGCAGAGTTGGCAGTAAGAACATGTCTTTAAATCAGTACATATGGTCTGCAAGCTAGTTTCACATACATCATCTCAGCCTTGAAACAAACCTGTGCGAGAAAATGTAACATGATCCCTTTATTACGTGTGATGCTAAGGGTTAAAGAGATGATGTCATTTGCTTCAGACCAGGCTTTCTGGAGGTGTGGAGCGAGGTTCTCACCTTCTGAAATACCTTGTGCCCATTTCACAACAGCCCCCTGTGTCGAAAGGCTCTCTTTACTGCTTCTCAGACACGATTCTGTGTCTTACTACATTTCCCATGAACCGTAGATCCCCCGGCATCTCCAGGTGGTCCGTGACTTGCACAGGGAGCTCTGTTCTGATGACTTCAGTGTAAGTTGGTTCTGACATTCATCAAAGACTTCTTTTTTCTTTTTCATTTTCATTAATAGTGCCTTGTATTATCAGTATTTCTCTAAGTCCAATCTTCGAACATCTGGCAGTTAACATCTGAGAATAATGACATTGGAACTTTATGCTGTAGTGATGTTTGTAGCATGTATTATTAACGATAAGATGTACCAAACAAAGACAAATCCAAAACAACAAAAAACAAAACTTTGCCAGTCAACATCCAAGAATGATGACATTAGAAAATTATGCTACAACGTTGTCACTAACAATAAATTGTGCCAAAAAAAAAATAATTAATAATCCCCAAACTAAAACAGACGGCAGCAAATGCCGCTGCTATAACCACCTGTCGGCTAATTTATCGGTGCCCCATTTATGTGCACTGTGGACTTTCCAAAACCTTCACCATTACGAGTATCACCAGGGTGGACACCCTCCTACAAGTCTCCTGGTACAAAACTGAGAGTGTTTCTGTAGGCTTGGCAGACTTCTCTGTAGAATTGTAAATCATTTGGTTTTGTGGCCCATATGAGAGGGATTCAAAAAGTTTGTGGAAAATTGGAATGAAAAGAGAATGGCATTTTTCCACGAACTTTTTACAAACAAAGGGCAGCAGGTGGACTGGGCCCTGGGGCTGGAGTTGCTTGACCTTTGTAAAAGTTAGTCACCTGGGGACCTCCGAAAATCATCGATATGTTCGAGTCCATTGTTGCAGTGTCTGCCAACTCTGTTGAGGGTCTCCTTAGTTTTCGCTGACCCTCTGCTTTACCAACCACGATGTCCTTTTCTGGCCATTGGTTTTTCCTGAGGACGGGTCCAAAGGAAGCGAGCTAGAGTCCTGCCTCCTCCCTGTTGAGGAGTGTTCTGTCTGCTGCTGTTTTGTTGTTGGGAACGGGACTTTGGGGTCCTGATTAGAATGGATCAGTTCAGACTGCTGGACAGTGAGGAAGATGGCCACTCTTTGGAGCCTGAGTTTGCATCTGTCAAAAGGAGTTCTGGAACTCTACTGCAAGGTGGTTGTGACGTATATCAGAGAGCCAGAAAGCAAACACCCTCATAGTAAGCACTGTTCATTCCTTTTCTCATCTCCCTAATAAGGGACAGGTATAAGTTCATTACAATGAGTCTCTTGTGAAATTGACTTCCCTCCAGTTGACAGGAATAGGCAACAGCAAAGCCCAAATGTGTGGGATTCGTTTTCCCTGGTTGAGAGATGCTACTATGTAAGCTGTGAATCTTCTGGAACCTTCTCAAAATGAGTGATAGGATTATGAGTTGGGCTGCTAACCTCAAGGTCGGCAGTTCGAAACTACCAACTGCTCCGCAGGAGAAAGATGTGCAGCCTCGGAAACCCTGTACAGGGTCGCTATGGGTCACAACCAATTCCACGGCACATAACAACAACAACAATATATTTAAATTGAACAGTGAATCGGATGGATTGTAGAAGAATCGATACATTTGAATTACGGTTATGGATGAGACTATTGAAAGTACTGTGAACAGCCAGGAGAATGAGTAAGTCGGAGGTTCAAGCTCACCAGCTCCTCGGAAACCCTATACAGGATCGCTGTGGGTTGGAACCAGCTCAACACACTTAACAGCATCAATAATCTTGGAGGAAGTACGCCCAGAATGCTCTTTAGAACAAGATGGCGAGACTTTGTGTCTCATTCTTTGGACACTGTGCTTGGTAAAGTCGAGGGTCAGAGAAAAAGAGGAAGACCCCCAAGGTATGAAGTAACACAGTGTCAGCAGCAGTGGGCTCAAACCTGATGTAATTGTGAGGACGGCTGAGGTCCAGGTAGTATTTCCTTCTGTTAGACAGAGGCTCACTGACCAGAACCAGAACCAGAACCACAGCACACCATTACACCCATAAAGGTTTGTGTAATTGAAATGATGTATCAGCCACATGGAGTCCTGGTGTGGTTCTGTAGGATCAGCTCTGCACTGATAACCACAAGATCAGTGGTTCAAACCCAGCAGTCTCTTTGGAATCCCTACACAGGGTCACAATAATCAACCATACATAGGAAGCATTCATGAGGGGGTTTGGTTTCTCCTGAGTGTGACATAAACAAGGCAAGTGGAATGCCCAGCAGCCAGTGGGCTGGGGACAAATCTCTGGAACCCGTGTTACAGTGACCCCTATAGGATGGAGTGGAATTGCTCCTTTTAATGTTTATAGGAGCCTTGTCTTTCTACAGGCAGTGGACAGTCAGTCCAGTGACTGGTCACTGCAGAAAGCAGGGTGGTATTGTTAACAAGTGCTTCTGGGTCAATTCCAACTCATAGTGAGCCTGGATAGGGTTTCCGAGGAGCACCAGGTGGATTTGAACTGCAGGCATTGTGGTTCACAGTCCAGTGCAATCCAACAGCTCCACACCACGAGTCAGCAGGAGTAGAGAAGTTGTTGTTAAGTGCCATCGAGTCAATTCTGACCCATAGCGACCCTGTGTAGAGTTTCCAAGGAGCAGCTGGTAAGCTTGAACCACCAACCTTGCAGTTTGAACAGCTTTGCAGTCTGACACATTAGCCCACAGAGCCACCCATCTATGGAGACATGTAATAACAGTGTTTCCCACCAGGGGGCACTTGGCACTTCAGTGTCTACAGACCTGTGTTCCTTCATTGAAAAGCACTGTGTCTAGACCAAAAGCTAAGGTTCATTTATATTTTCATCCTGTGAGCTTTCAGTGGAGAGATTTTTTTGGGATAGTGTTCCTGTATTCAGTGTAGCAATTACTATTGTTTGCAATATATGTGTGTGTGTGTGTGTGTGTGTGTGTGTGTGTGTGACTGGTAGAGTTGATTTTTGCTTA